TCTGGAGTTTTGCTGTGAGGTGGCATAAGTGTACATTTTAGTGCATAAAGTAATTTAAATGTATGTACATGCCTGATGTGAACAATGACATTGTTTCGTTCTTGTATAACTTTCATGTTTGAACATAGAGACATGGTTTCACAGACAGGGCTTAGCTTAAGCTAGGACTAGGCCTTGGTTAAATTAGGATATTTAAATAACTTTTATAAAAATGCCTTAACTTTACTGGTGTGCATCTTGAGACATGACAATGGCACTGACATATTTTAAGATGTGTCAGTACAAGATATTTTCAAGATATAAGACGGCTTGAACATGCATTTTAGTCTGAGACTGGCCTGTGAATCTGGGAGATAATGTTTATATAACGTTAGCTGTGCTTTCTTTTCACAGTTATGAGGGCCATACTTACACTTCCAAAGCATCTCTTCCATTTCTTCTTCCTTCCAAAACAAGATAGTCATTAAGAGGGCTCTAAACCTAGATAGAACAGAAATATATTCATCCGTTTTTGTATTTATACCGTTAATTAATTTAAACACACTCTTTCAAACAGCCATGTCTATTAAACGTGGTCGTTAACTTATTGCACTCACCATATTAGCGCCACCACCGTTTCTCCTCCGCTGCAATCGCGGCTGCTGTATGAGTAAAATTAACTTACACTCCTCATAAACAACATCAAGTGAAAAAGGAAAAGACTAAAATAATCTCAGTCGAACTCGCTGGTCCAGGGTTCAAGCGCGGTTTTGTCCGCTGCAGGCGCGTGAGAAAGCTAGCTAACGGATGAGAAATGTCCCGTCGTTTAGACAAACAACATGTGAATCTGGGAGATAATGTTTATATAACGTTAGCTGTGCTTTCTTTTCACAGTTATGAGGGCCATACTTACACTTCCAAAGCATCTCTTCCATTTCTTCTTCCTTCCAAAACAAGATAGTCATTAAGAGGGCTCTAAACCTAGATAGAACAGAAATATATTCATCCGTTTTTGTATTTATACCGTTAATTAATTTAAACACACTCTTTCAAACAGCCATGTCTATTAAACGTGGTCGTTAACTTATTGCACTCACCATATTAGCGCCACCACCGTTTCTCCTCCGCTGCAATCGCGGCTGCTGTATGAGTAAAATTAACTTACACTCCTCATAAACAACATCAAGTGAAAAAGGAAAAGACTAAAATAATCTCAGTCGAACTCGCTGGTCCAGGGTTCAAGCGCGGTTTTGTCCGCTGCAGGCGCGTGAGAAAGCTAGCTAACGGATGAGAAATGTCCCGTCGTTTAGACAAACAACAATTTTCGCCGATCACAAACAGTCTCTCGAGGAAAAGAAAGAGCGAAAAAAGGTAAATCGCGGAAAATAACATCCATACACCTAACTTATCTAAGCTCGTTGAATTCACACAGTGACAAAATTGTGTCGTTAACGGACTCGCAGCACCAGTGTGAGGAGGCGTGGTCATGATATAAACTTAATATCAGAGTTAATCTAACCTTGATATTTTACATTCGTCAAAAGGAATATGTCTTAGTTGAGCTCTTAATGAAAAATTTTTATATTTATCAATGTTTTGAACTAAAAAAATGTTACTTGAAAAATAAAACAAATAATGGTAAATTTAATTGAAAGACAAATTACTTTTTACAAATTATACTTTGGATGAAGTACTGCTTGAAAAACCTTTTTCAGTGTATAATGTATTCAGTGTTTGAATAACTGTGGAAATGAACGTGTTATAGTTAACTTACAATGTTTTTATTAAAATCATGTTAAATGCAAGTCAGTCGTATTAAAAATATTTGATGACATGACACCCTGATACTTAAATAAAAAGATAGTTATCATAGTTAATAGATAACAATAACATTAGGCTACTTTTATTAGATAATGCCGTTTTAGCATCCTTATTTGAATCCCCATTTTTATCTCATGTAGCCTATTGTAAAAAAAAAATTTAATAGAATCTAAGGTCCACTCACTTTAAAAAACGGGCCTTGCCAATTGTGTTGTATAAATAAAATCCCAATGTACTACATCCATCGCGTTGTCATTGTCATGTGACCTACAGTGTCAGTTGCATCACTTCACTGGCATTCTCTCTTGTGGCATTATGGGACACTGCATGTACACATAATTAAATGGAGATTTTTGCTTAAGTCTCCTACTATACTCACATTTCGCTTCAGAGAAAAATACTCTAACATTCTCTCATTTGTCTCCTTTAAGAGTAAAAAGAGATCTCAGCAACTTCAGTTGTAATATACAGTAAAAAAAACTGTATATTAATTCAAATGTCTCAATTTGAATTGAAAGGTTTCTTAATATAGCCATAAAAAAATACAGTATGCATGATGAAATTATTAAAGGATTGAGTCGTAAGCAAATATCATTGTGCCTTTCAGCAAAAAAGGGTTACTGTTACTGTAAAAAGGCTTGCTTTGGATAAAGACATGTGGAACATGACTACTTTCAAGAAATAATTAACTGGCTTATACACATAAGCTGAATAGCTCTGTATGTCAGTATTACTGCATGTCAGCATTTAAGTGTATATCAGAATCAGAATCAGATCAGAATCAGAATCGGAATGAGCTTTATTGCCAGGTATGTTTACACATACGAGGAATTTGTTTTCGTGACAGAAGCTTCCACAGTGTAACAGAATGACAGTGACATAACAAAAAACACAGATAATAAAAATAAAAATAGAACAAGTAAATAAGGAATAAAAATATATAAATTGACAATTGTGTGTGCAGGTATATTACAATAGACAGTTTTTTTGTGCCACATCTTCTTTAACACAGTTACATCTGTACACCACCTCTCATTGATGTAAAAGCATGTCGCGCGAATTCCCCGTTGATTCTGTGTCGCGGTCCGCTCTGAACAGCTGAAAACCCGGCAGACTCAACGCGCTGTCCGGAATGGCGTCTTTCAGCCAGGTTTCCGTGAAACACAGAGGAGCAGTTAGAAAAATCCTTATTTGTCCGGGAGAGCAGAAGGAGTTCGTCTGTTTTGTTGGGTAGAGAGCGGAGGTTCGCCAGATGGATGCTAGGCAACGGCGTTCTGAATCCGCGCTGTCTGAGCTTGACGAGCGCGCCGGCTCGCTTCCCCCGTCTGCGCGTCCTGAAGCGCTTGATCAGCGCCACAGCTCCCCCGACAACAATGTCCAGCAAAACATCCGAATAGTCGAAAACCGGCGAAATATCGGGTGGTGTGTACTGCCGAATGTCCAGCAATTCGTCTCTGGTGAAACTGATTGCAGGGATATAACTAAAGACAGGACAAACTAACAAAAACATAAAAACAACTGCGGAGCACGCCACGGAGGCAGCCATCAGCGTCGGCGCCATCTTAGATCATATCTAACCATTATCCTTAACAAAGACTTAAGACTTTGAATTTCATGATCAGTGTTTTTGTTTTACTTTATTTAGTACCTCTTTCATCCACAACATCTCAATCAAACACATTAATTATATACCTCTTGGGAATTTTAAGAGACACATCTAAAGTTGATGCCTATAGTCAATGAGATGAGAATCATCACTTATTATATCCATCTTCAGCTGAAAAAAAGCCTTGGGCAACCCAAGTTATCCTATTGTTTTAAATAAAAAATAAATAAAAAACAGTAATACAATATTATGAAAAACCTTTATTGTTGATTGTTACTTTTGATATTGTAATAATGTTGATTAATGTTGATTAATAGAATATGCCTACATTTTTTATGTGGTTTATAGCTTTTTATGCATTAGAAAATCAAGACTTCACATTGGTTATTAGCATGAATAATAAAACAATTACTTAAACTGGAAAATAATAACAATAATAATATAGAGAGCAGAGAGTGTTCCTCATCACTGAAGTGGTCCATGATTTCAGTCTAGAACAAGGTCACTGAGTTCTGCACTCTTGCAAAAATGTGACAGATCTAAATGTAACGTTTAGATTATTTTGCTATTTGAATGATTATGTATCTGTTGTGCTCAAGACTTACAAAGTCAAAATGAAAAAAAAAAATAAAAAAATAATAATAATACAAATGATGAGCTATACTGTAAAGGAGCATTCACACTGACAGCAATTTGAAATAAAGCAATCAAAAGTCATTGTTTCAAGTAAACTTACTATAACATGAATGTGTGTAGCTTATTCAGTGAACAACCATGCGATATTACATACCTTATATCCAAGTCCATTTTATGTTATAAAGCTAGAAGAACATTTTCAAATTAAGATAAAGGGAAGGGTGACATGAGAAGACACAGAGAGCAGAATAGTGCATGTACAAGCCTCAATGGAGGATGGATCCTCACCCAGAACACTTGGTGCCTTTATGGGAATTGAGATAGAGAGAGATACACTTACAAACACATCTGACATAAAACTAAATTATCTTGTGTAGTTCCATTGGGTGAGCCAATCTTCTACCAACTGATTGAACTGACTTGACCAACCTTATAACTACAAAACTTAAAAAGAACAGACACATTAACCAACTAACAGTGACTACAACTTAACTAAGCCTCATTTATTACCAATGCACCAAGTTGGGCATCACTGACCTTCGACACATAAAATAAATTGTAAAATAATTGAAGGCCATCTGCTTTGAATAATCATGCACCAGGACAAACGCCATCGATTTTTTTTCAGCATGAATTTTGTTCCTTGAGGAAAATATGCTCTACAAAGACTTCAGTTAAAATATTCCAGTTACACCTATAAAAATATTTTTTCCCCTAGGGAATTTAACTATTTCTGGTGGTTTCCTAGAATCGTGAAATGAAATGTTAATGGAAGTATAGTTTAGCATTAGCTCAACTGCTTTACATTTTACATGTATTCATTTAGCAGACGCTTTTATCCAAAGTCCAAGTCAAAGCCTTTAAGTCTAGGTGACATCTTCGAGATGCAGATAAAGTTATTTTTTTTTACTAGCTTAGGTTGATACATCACTGACATTCAAGTCTTGCAAATCATTGTATCGCTTTCCCATGTCTAATATTGCCTTCAACACATTTACGTACATTGTGTATTGTGCCACAGCCTCATAGAGAACCCGGATCATTGTGTGTCTATCCTTTGGATTTTTCTGGCATGGTTCCTTGTTGTCTAGCTTTGTTTGTAGGTGTCTGGGGAATGCTGGAACGTCAAAACTAACAGGCAGTCTCACATTAGCTCCATTCCTGTAATATAGCATTTTTTTGTCTTTTAATTTTAGGTGTAAATCAAATTAACAAACAATTTACATTGCTAAGTCCCTTTCAATGAATAGGTTACCAAACAATGTCTGCCCCAAATATTAACTGCTATGAGGACTGTTGGAGCCATTTATTGTAAAGTTTTACTTGGCCATTGGGTGGCACTGTGACACAGTATAATTGTAACACCGGTGTAAGAGCCAGGTGTGCGTTGGTAATTGGGAAGCACACAGTTTTTGACCGCACGGCAGAGTAGCGTGCAAGATGAACTATGATCTTATGCTGTGTCTTCAAGGTATGGACTTGGATTGTACATGTTAATGCACAAGGAACACTCATAGCAAGTGGTTTTGGAACAATTGTTATTGGAGCACAAATAAAGAAAGACATTTGTTTAGCATCTATTTCCGTTTGCACGGACTCTGTTTGTACGCGTTCTAGAACTTGCTCACTCATATTATCAACGGCAGCGGCTTATTGGAAAGCCGTTACAAGGACAATAATTACTAGAACAAAAATTATGGTACTAGTGTTCTTTAGCTTCAAGTTGGTTCAAGCTAAAATGAAACTTAGAAGATGCTTTGAAAACATCAGGCATTCACTAACCTTGGTATAGCAGAACTAGATTGTTGGCATTCCTCTGGAGGCACAGGCTCTAATGTCTGTTACTAATGGCTCTTTCAGCTTGCATACAAACTGGTTGAATTTGGCCTGCTTCTTGAAAGATCCTTGAAACAAGTACGCAACCATAGTCTCTGTGAGGCCACAGTCAACTGTTTCACCATCCACATCATTATCTGAGAGAAAGTAAACAAGAGGGATATGAAACAGCTGTGCACTTGACTAAAAAGTAATCCAAACAAATTGAAATAATTTGACCAGCATATAATAGCAACAGCATTACCTTTGTGGCCAATGCCCTCGCTAGGTTCTCATATGTTAAACTCGGGGATTAAAGCAAAAAAATATTTTGACTGAATTTTTCGTATTTTATGACCGTTAACGGAAGCCTGTCGTGAAGGGTAGCGCTGGAATTCGCGCTCGGCTCGCAGCTTCTGTGAACACAAAGCCCTTTGTGGTAGCCCAACTTACTTTGATTGTTTTTTACCTTGCCTGGGAAAACAAGCGAGAGTTGCAACAGCGTCGCTTTTTGAGCACACTTTTTGCGCATCTACATTTAAAAAAACGAACGTGAGCGCAATTGTGAACGGCCCCTAAAGCAGCCCAGATGAGGTCGGTTATCGGGTATAGAAAACCCGGAGTGGATCGGGAGCGGTGTAATTACAGCATGCTAGAGTGCAGAGAAGAACGTGCTTTCGCTCCACTCCAGGCTTTCATCACATCCCCTTCAGCAGGGAGAATACACCTCGTCCTTCCTTAATTTAAGACCCATTCAAACTAAAATTAAGACATTTATTACACTATTTGAGAAATGTAAGCATATTTACGACCTTAAAATTATTAAACGTGAACTTAAGACATAATGATATTGACGGAAATCCGTCGCAGACTCTCTGCAATTAACGGAAATCCGTCATAGCGACGGAGAACTTTAATCCCTGTAAAGTAAAATGTGTCATACAAAAAGCGAATTCATTTAAGAATAGGCGCAGGCACAGTGAGAGAAACGGAGAGAGATTGACGATAGGAGCAGATAGTAGATGCAAGCCGTAAAGTTAAGACCGCGAACACAGCGGTGGTGTGTGAGTGGGTGATGTGTTAGCGGGTGCTAATTTACCCCACAGTCAGTGAATAACGTAGACTTGAGATCCAAGCTAAACTCCCGTGTCTTTCCAACCAGCCAACTTACTGACCAAAGTTGAGACTGATAGCCCCGATGCTAGCGACAACTGCTCACCTGGGTTTTCAGATAGGATGCGATGTGCGCAGCAATATTATTATTTTACTGCTTATTCTACATGCCGTGTTGGTCCCGAAGACTGAGAGAGAGAGAGAAAAAAAGGAGGGGTGAGACATCTGGAACATTCTCTTAACAAGACAGAGAGTGTTTTCTAACACCAGCCAAGGAAAAATTCGGTAACATTACACGTTTCATACACTTTATAATCCACTAGCAGAGGACATATACAATTTGGCGGGGTAACATTAGCCCGCTACCACAAATATTTTGTCAAATAAAATGGCATTTGAATAAAAACTTACCTCTGAATCTCTGGGCTTCGACGTCGGTTACTTCTATGCCTGCTTCTGATATTTTTTGAAGGACCTCCTGGGTTGAAAGCCCTGTAAGACCCATGAGTACCCGTGCCGTGCTGAGTCTCCGCGAAAAGAAAGACCGCAAACTTTAAATTGAGATTCAAGCAGCCAATCAGGGCTGTCTCTATATATTTGACACATCTTTCCACCAATCAAAAGTAGTGAGCAAGCAGTCTCCGTTCCCGCTCTCATGCTATGCAATGCAAATATATTTCTGATGAAATACACTATAACAGTGAGAATCAGCCATTTGTGTGTTTATGTGTGTTGTGTTTCATTTACATAATCAATATAATATCATAATTTCATCAGCTGGATAATTGTATTATAATGATTTAATATCAGAAAATTGACTTACAAAACTTTTATTTCTTTTATTTCAAGGCTACTCAAATATAGTGGTAGCCTAAGTTATTTATCTACCATAAATAATTAAGGGATCATTCAAATCTTTAAACAACAACTTTTACAAAAAAATTGGCTTAGCAGAGGCTGTCTCTTGACCTTAACCTGTAACTTAACCTTTAAAAGAAACGGTACATATATGTACCTTTTAATGCTTGGGAACACATATGTACCTTTTTGACCCTCAAAAAGGTACATGCATGTACCTTGAGGTCCAATAATAAGCCCTATGGGGTACATTAGTGTAGATTGTACCTTGGGGGACAGAAATGGACTCCTACTGTACCCCTATTTCTGACAGTGTATGCAGGTGTTTAAAACTACTGCATGACTGTCATGATGGCTCTAGTTGATGAAAGTGACAAATGAATCATGCCAGTTCCTATTGCAGCTACTGACACATTACAAATTGCTGCCAACAGTTAGAAGCTTTTGTTGCATATGACACTAATGATATGCATGAGTCTTTTATAACATATTGATAGCACCAGATTGTATTAGCCATTTTTAGTGAGGCTGCATGGTCGATAAAGATAAGGATAATATCAATTTTTCAGGTAGAACCTCTCTTTAATAAAGAATGAAATGCTAGCTCAATTTTATTGCTCAGAGGTTGCTTAAGACTTCATAAAATAAGAAATAACATATATAGTGAACAACTAGAAAATCAATGTGAATAGCATAGTTTAGATCATTCTGCCTTGGGAGGATATAATGAGAAATATATTTGAGTTTATAATGAGATCTCTTGGGGATCTTGACAAACTGAGCACAGTTTGAGACTTTGTTGAGATCTCCTTTGAAACTCTAGAGGAGATTTATGTAGGATTCTTGAAGTCTTTTTCTCAGGGGAACAATCTGAGGAATAGAGACTTGAGCAAAACATCTCTATTTAATCTCACTGGCACCCATGAGAAAAAGCTGAGATATTAAAGTGATTCCTTGTAATTTTCTTTCTGGTGTGTGTCCAAAATAGTCTGACCTCAGTGTTAGGTTAATAAAAATAAACTGGAAAAAATGCATATTTTATAGCAGAAACAGCAGAAAACTTTTACAATTTTCATCAAATTACTTTATAATGCAAGCATAAAAAAAGAAAGAAAAGAGGAGACAAAGACAGCGTAGTCATTATTTCATATTCAGTAATTCATATTTGAACATTCTTTTCTCCTTCAGTTTTTCACGTGGTTGTGTGGCCTTTTTGTTCAGTCCCCTGCCATTTTTTTGTGGAGGCGAACACAGATTCAGTGCTAATGCTTCCAGGATTTATTTTTAATCAGAGATTCTGTTGGGACAGACATTGAGCCAAATGAATGCGATGGCAACAGGTTCTGATGGTGGAACGGCTCCTTTAGTGGCCAACAGGGATCTTGAATATGTACTTATTTAAAATCAATTTCAAAAAGAGGCGGGGGAGAGACAGACAGAGATCTGAGGGCTTGATTGTCAGTAAAATGTAGCTCCACTGACAGCAGACTGCTGACACAAGGAGAATATGAAAACCATTATTTCTCATTACCATTACTTCCTCAGGTCTTGTTATGATTTGTGACTTGTGTGCATTGTGTGAGAGAAAATACAGAGGTCGGAACCACAATATCTTTCTAAATTGTGACCCTGGACCACAGAACCTTAAGTCTTAAGTCGCTGGGGTATATTTGTAGCAATAGCCAAAAATACATTGTATGGGTCAAAATTATTGATTTTTAGGATATTAAGTAAAGATCATGTTCCATGAAGATATTTTGTAAATTTCCTACTGTAAATATATTCAAACTTAATTTTTGATTAGTAATATGCATTGCTAAGAACTTCATTTGGACAAATTTAAAGGTGATTTTCTCAATATTATTTGCACCCTCAGATTCCAGATTTTCAAATAGTTTTATCTTGGCAAAATATTGTCCTATATCATAACAAACCATATATCAATGGAAAGCTTATTTATTCAGAAAAAATTACCCTTATGACTGGTTTTGTGGTCCTGGGTCACAATCAGAGGTGGATTTAACCATTAGGCAAAGGTAGGCGACCGCCTTGGGCCCCCAAAAGCCAAGGGCCCCCTAAAATGCTTTTTATATGCGAGATGCGCGTTCAGTGCGGACGCACAAGTGGTTGCTGTGGTGTTCATTACCACGACAACCGTCTGTGCGTCCGCGTTGAACGTGCTTCTTAGCAAAAGTAGGGCGATGTAGAAAATGGGGACGGAATCCTGGAATCTATTCATAAAAATGGAATTTACTGCGTAACGCGGAATGTGACGGAGTTTGCTAGTTTGCTATTTAAGCAGATTAATGTTTTCGCCTTCATTTGATTACCAGAAAAATGAAAATACACAACACAGAATTTCTAAAAAATCAGTAAATAAAATTTAAATTTCATAGGGCCCTATTATTGTATACAAATTAATAAATTAAGTTGCTTTTATGAATTCAATTAGATATGTTTTTGATTAAACAATTAAAATGGAATACAGAGAAAAAAGAAGAAAAAAAAAGAAAAAAAAACAGAATCCAGAAAAATTAAAACGGAAAAAAGGATTTTGGAAAAAATTAAACTTAGGCTAATTTGGGAAAAATAAAACGGATTTCATA